ATATACTACTATATGTACACATACATAGTACAAACTACTATATACACACATACATCGAACATACTACTTTATACTCACATACATAAAACATACTGGAAACTCATGAACAGTAAGAACGTAATGGATGCCAATCCGATCAGCAGAATAACCAGCGACGTGGCTATCTCCTGCACATTCTCTCTGGCAGCGGCCCTGAACTTCTCTCCCAATCGCCCACCCATACGGCGTACCACCGGTAGGATTGTAGTATTGACTGTGTGTTTGATACCCTCGATGGTCTGGATTTGATAGGTAAAAGGAGTGGGTAAGCCGCTATTCTATTGCACGTGATCAGTAGCGGATCTTGGTAGAGCGTGATGGATTAGTTTAGAATCAGTTACAAATAGTTGGGGCTAGTTTGGAATTGTGTTGGAGTTAGTTGGGACTACTTTGGAATTAGTTGGAACAGATGTGGAAAGTGTTGGCGCCAAAAAAAATAGTCAAAAGTAGGACGAGCAATTATTAGTATTGCAACAAACTATCCATGCGTCATTGGCACGAAAGCCCTAAACCCGGGAAGAACCCCAATGGCTACAAAATGCGGACATTCTACCGATCCTTGATAGTGTTTGATATACGCAACTGTGTTTGTGTATTTTATTTCCAAAGCACAGATGGGATTTATTGACCTGTAAACAGGTATATAGAGAAATAGTATATATCCTGTGAACATGCACATACGCACATAGATTCACATATACATATACATAAACATTCGCATATGCGTATACATATACATTACATATGCAAATACATGAACATCTATATATGCATATACATACACCTTACATATACATATACATGGACATTACATATGCATATACATGAAAATTGCATATGCATATACTTATACATTACATATGCGTGACATGTCCTAAATACATATATACTCACGAGGACCTGTTAGTATCCCATAACATGTATTATATATTCATGTATATACATACATATAGTATATATATATATGTGTGTGTGTGTGTGTGTGTGTGTGTGTGTGTGTGTGTGTGTTATATACATATAT